TTTTATGACATGGAAGCCTTCCCCCCAGTTTCCCTTCCTAATTATTTCAAAGGTCTTTAGGATAAATCTTTTTTTTTTTTTTTTTTTTTAATGGCCACAACAGACCTTTTTTATAAGAACAGATTAGAATGATGCCTCTCTTCAGTGAAAAGTATGTGGCAAACAAGGGCTGCTTACTAACAAGCTTCAGGACTGAGTTGTTGAGATAGGCTAGATGCTGTGCCAGAAGCTACCTCTCTAGAACCTTTTTGTAAACAAGCAGCCTCTCATAACTATCTGCTTTGCATAGGTGAAAAAAATACAGAGCGTAGAAAATATATTCCAACATTTTAGTCTGTTCATGGACTTGCAAAGATTTCAACCCCACAAAGAGTTTTGTCACACTTCTTGAGACCAGTTCATTCCAGAAAACATAGCTGTCATCCCCAGAAGGCAAAAAAACCATTGACAGTCAGTGAGGCTCATCAAATAAATGACTGCAATAATTTTTTTTCTAATAGTGTTTCTGTTGCCCAGAAAGGCTGAGGTGAAGAGGCTTAGCGGTTTAAAAAATTGAGGGAGAAACAGGATTGGATGTAACATTCTTAGACTTTTCATATGAAGTAATAAATCCTGTCACCATGTCCTGCTTGGCTACTTGGACTTATAAAGCTGGCTTTTGGTTTGTTTTTTGATGGAATTTTTTTCTTGAAAGCTTGCCAGCATTTGGGATTTTGTTGCCAGCTTTTGTGTCAAAATATACTGAAAGATCTGTAGAGCACTATATTTTGGAGTGATAGCGGTTTTCTCACTGTGATCTGTTTAGAAGCATCTAGTGGAGATAAATGTCAAAAAGATGATTGCAATACCTGTTTTATCATAGTGATTCTTGTCTTCGCCATTTCTATCATCTCATGCAATGTCTCGACCTCAGACCACACAGAAGCATCTTTTCAGTTAAGAATAATAACTGAAAACTTTTTCACTTAGCATTTCTCTGTCATGTAGCAGAGCGTAGTCCTTTGCCAGAGATGTTTGGGGCTTGCAATACTGTTTGGTTTTCTATTCTCAAATAAACAAACAGTTTATCCCTGTTCCTTCAAAATGTTTGGAAACAGGTCTGAAAGAGAAAAATAGTCAATGAGCCCAGCATGTCTCCATTTACTCTAACTGCAGTGGGATTCATTTTCTCAGCCTTCAGGGTCATACATTTTGGAAGGTCATCTGGTGTTGAAAAAAGAAGGAAGATACTTCTATGAGTCCACTACACTCCAAAAAGAAGTCTGTATTGTAAGCCCCCTTGCCAAGCCTGCAGATTCCAGTGTTTGAACACCCCACTGACTAACAAGAATAACTGAAACTTGTAAGAATTTATGGGATTTGGAGTATCAAAGAATTAGGCAAATTAAAACTCAGTTATGACAGAGCCATAACTTAGTCTTTCCTTTCTTAGCACTTTCTTTGCCCAGCCCCATTTCCTAGGTGTGTCTTGGAGCAACTGCTATCCTCTCTGTGCTCAGACCTAAATGGAAATAGTTCCTAGTATAAAGAAAGTGCAAGTTGCCAGGAGTCCTTCTTCTAGATACTTTAGAAATTGTGTCTAAGACTCAGAGTTGTATCTGGAGGTTGAATCGATTCTTACTCCAGTTCCCAGCTTGGATCCACAGTATGTGAATGATTTGTCTAACTTCCTCATTCTTTTTAATTTCTATGTGACTCTACCATTGAAAAGAAAGTCTTAAAATCTCTGGTGTGCTGCACATTTGTGGAAATCAAAACTGTGGAAGATGTCTGAACTATTGGCACTGAAGAATTACGTGCATGCTTTTCTCAGTACACTGTCACATTCAGTCATGTCCAACTCTGTAACAATGACTAATAGAGATGTTTGCCTTTTTTTTTTCCCTTTCTCTCCTAACTCCTTTTGCAGCTTTCTACTAACAGATTTTCATTCTTCTTAGGAATCATTACCGTGCATCTGTAATTGTGCAGGTGTTGTGGTTTAATCCCATCTGGCAGCTAGGACCACGCAGCTGCTCGTGCAGTTCTTGCCCTTCCTCTAGAAGGGCAGGGAAAAGAGGGAGAAAAGGAGGGGAAGGGTAAAAGAAAAAAACCACCTCATGGGCTGAGATAAAGGCAATTTAATAGAACAATAACAGAACATGAAACTAACAATAATAATAATGGTAATGACACAAGTCACTCTCAGAACCCGGTGAATTGGTACCTTCCTGAGCAGCAATCGCAAGTGCCTTGTCCCTGGCTAACCCCATTTATATATTAAGCATAACATCTATGGTATGGAATATTCCATTGGCCATCCCATCATTCTGTCTAGGCTCTTTCTCAGCTTTCAGCTGGGAAACTGAAAAAAGTCCTTGAAAAAATATAAACATCACCTGGAAAAAACTAAAACAATATGCTTTCATACCAAATCAGAAACACAGTAACCACTAGAAAGCAAACTAACTCTGTCCCAGCTGAAACCAAGACAGCAAGCTAACTTTTTTCAAAAGGAAAATTATTTTCTCTTGGTTTGATTCTATTTTGTCATACATTGCTTTTACCTGCTTTAAAAATTGTCTTCATATTTTAAATTCTTATAACAGTTACTCAGTTTCTTAGAGTATATAAAATTTCCCAGAATGATGGAGCAATACATCATCTAAGTATTTTCCACATCTTCTGGGTCCAAATTATAACATTGCTGAAGACTTCTTTTTGAACTTTCTCATTTTAGAATAAAATAGTTAAACAAAAGTTTCAATCCTTACAAGTTTTTGGACTCCTGTTTCACAGTGAATGGTTTCTTCAGCTCTCTCATCTCCCAAAATGAACACACATCAAATAAATTCTGATGAAGTGCAAAGCAACTCAAAGTATCACTAGTATCTTAACAAACTTCTGGTTTTGTACAGCTGTCATGGGAACTCTTTGTTCCATTTTTCAATTCTTATGCAGTCTGGTTTTGTGGGCTTGAAGGTCAACAAAGTCTATGAAATGTTGCAGTCTTTTGTATGATTAGCTCATACTTTCTTCTTGCTGAGTTGAACGTAGCTTTTGCTTCAGGAATTTTTTACTGCAAATCATTGCTGGTATTTTTTGGACTTGACCTTCATTTTTCTTTCTGCTGTGTATGGACTTGGCTTTCTATTTTATTCTTTTCATGTCTTTTCAGAGCTTTTATTTCCTCGGTCATTC